AGAACTAACTACAGTATATTGCTAAAAGTTAAGCTTCTACTGGATGGAATGATGTGTTCATTAAGCGGTAGGGTCCTTTTAGATTTCTGTACATAGTATTAAGAGAGATGGATTCACCAGTGTGTGTCAGGTGCCAACACCTTGACAAAAGTTTTAAAAGATATTTTAGTATATGAAAGAGTTGTCCAAATCTTAAATATTTTTGTCTAAATACATTCCATAAATGGCTTTGGTTCTTGTATTTTAGCAATTGAATAAGTAGCACGGAAAAACCAGTTTTGACACTATATAAAAATAACGAATGGTCTTATCTGAATACAATGGCACTTAATTTACCTATGTGAAAATTATAGTGAGCACAGACTTTTAACTAGGTAATTGAATTAAATTACAGGCCATGTCTACTCTGTACAAATTAAGCCCTCACAAAAATAATTTTAACATTGCAAACTGACACTCAGAGTAAACATCCAAGCAAGGAACTAGCTTCTCCAAACATAATTCATTTTTAATATGTGCAATATGAAAACATCTATGCTCTCAGACAGGCTTATGAGGCTGCTGAATGCCGTTTCTCTCCATGAGCTAAGCATGCCCGGTTCATCCAGAAAGGCAGTAGCCATGCAGGACACCTTGGTGGCAACCTCAGTGGGGTGGTGGGATGGACAGTCCTGCTGAGAACTCTGCTCAAAGACACCCTGGCCAGCAGGAGAGGCAGGTGTACAAACAGTACAAGAGTCAAAATGGAAAAAATTAAAAGGAACTATCCACAAAGAAAAGCCTGGGCCTGACAACTCTGCCAAATGTTCAAAGAATACCAACTCTTCTAAAACAGAAAAGACTAGTCCTGACTCATTTTTTGAGATCAGAGTTAATCTGATATCAAAACCAGACAAAGACATTCTAATAAAATTCCAGATCAGTATTAGATACAAAAGTCCTCAACAAAATGGTAACCAAATCTAGAAACATATAAAGAAGATTATAAAACTGATGAAGTAGAATTTCTCTCATGAGCACAGGGGTGGTTTAACATCTGCAAATGAAGATTATGCATAACACCTGCATTAATAGAATAAAAGACAAAAAATCATTTTAAAAGGTAGAGAAAGCATTTAATAATATATCAACGTGTCAACAACAGCAACAACAAAAAAGTTCAACCAACTAGGGTAACAAAAGGGCCATCAGGAACTCTATGAAAAGCACGGTCAGTATTATACTTACTTGTAAGAGAACAAATACTTTCCCCTAGGATCAGGAACAAGGTTAAGAACGCCTGCTGTTTCTACTCAACCTTGCTGGAGATTAGCCAAGGCAATTAGTGAGAAAAAGAAATGAAAGACATCTATGTTGGAAAGAAATTAGTAAAGCTGTATTTGCAGGTGATAAGATACTAAACATCCCAGGGACTCCACTTAAAGACTATGAGACTTAATACATGAGTTTAGTAAGGCTGCAAATTTAAGTTCAACATACAAATACACAAAATAGACACAAAAACTGTGTATACTTATAAGCAAGAGTCCAGGCAAAATTGTATTTACACTAGGATTTTAAAAAAATTGATGATTAGGAATAAATTTAACAAAAGAAGAATCAAACTTAGACTGTAAAAACTACAAACCCTCACCAAGAAATTGACGATCTCAATAAGCGGGATGTCCCACGAGCACAGATTAGCGCTTAACACTAGAATGGCGATACTCCCAAAACTAGTCCAGAGATTCTGCGAAGGGCCTACCTAAACCCTAGCTGGCTCACTGCAGAGACTGAGAAGCCAGTCCTAAAGCTTCATGCTCACATTCCCCACTGCAAAGCTCACTACAAAGCCGCAGTACCCAAGATGGAGTGGTACTGGTGTCAGGATAAACAGAGTTCAGTGGAAGAGAACTCAGAGTCCAGAGATAACTCTCACACAGTCAAAATGACTTTTAATAAGGGTGACAAAGTAATTCAACAGGAGAAACGGTGGTCTCCAAGACAATGACTCTCCCTACACGTTCAAGTGGCTGGACCCTACCTCCCTCACACAGTTTACAAAGATTACCTCAAAGCGGGGCGAAGAACCAACTGTAAGAGCTACAACCATAAAACTCATGGGAGAGAACACCCTTCCTGACCACAGCTTGGTAGTGGTTTAAGCATATCCCCGAGAGAAGTGAACGCAGCTGGCATGAAGGCATGGCATACGTGCTCTGGCAGCATTATCCACAGGAGCCCAGACAGAAGGGATCCACTGGCCCATCGACTCGTGACTGAACTCAAAATATGTTGTCTATCTGTTCAAAAGAAAATTACTGGGCCAGGGATAGAGCTTAGTGCCACAGCACCTGCCTGGAAAGCACAAGGTCGTGAGTTCGATTCCCGGTACCAGAAAAAAAGACAGTTGCTCACAGTGCATTTTGGCCCTGAATATGAACCTCACTAAAAAAGCTTAAAAAATAAAACTCCTTTGGGGCTGGGGATTTAGCTCAGCGGCACAGTGCCTGCCTGGCAAGCGCAAGGTTGTGAGTTCAATTCCTGGTACTGGAAGAAAAACAAAAACAAAGAAAATTACTCAGTAAAAAAGAAATGAAGCCAGGTGCTGTGGTACACGCAAGTATGAGCCCAGTGTAGGCAACTTAGCAAAACGCTGCCTGAAAAAAAAAAGACGTGACAAACAACAACAAACACAGCAGAGGCAGGGTCTGAAGCTGGGGCGGGGGCAGAACTCAGGGCTAAGGCCCTGGCTTCAATCTCCAGTACCCGGGGGTGCGGCAAGAATGGCGGCCGATGCGTGCCGCAGCGTGGGTAAACCATGGAAACGTGAAAGTGAAAGAAGCCGGTCCCAAAAGGCCACATATCGTACAGAACCCTAATTCTAACCCTAACCTATGCTAGGCAAATCTACAGAGATAGGCAAGAGTGCAGAGACAGAAAATAAAAGTGGGTGCCGAGAGCTGGGGAGAGAGGGGTGGAAGGTGAATGCTAAAGAACGCAAAGTTTCACTTGGGGCTGGTAAAAATGTTTTCAAATTAAACTCTGGTCAAGGCCACCCAAAATGTCAACAGACAACAAACCAATAAACTGTGTACTTAAATGTTAGGTGAATTATATCGGAATAAAGAAGCTATCAAAGAGGGGTCTGAAGCAGCAAAAGAAGCTGTCTCAGGACACAAGATTTAGGGAAGCAGAGACTATATTACACTTAGAAAAGAAAATCCGTCATGTGACCGCTAAAACACTCACCAGTCTATCTCTAAAGGGCACATAAGATAAAACAGGGAAGCAGAAAATCTTGTTTCATCTCTGACCTTTTCTTCAATTCTTAAAATAATGTATTTTTTGATTAAGTAGATACTGGTTACTTTTTGCTCAATTCTTCTTTGCAGGGGGGAAATCACAAGTTCTTCAGTGTGCAGCTATCTTAGCTAAAAATTATGTGATGCATTCCGGGTGCTGCCGGTGCCCAGCCCTAGGAAACGAGGCCGACACGAACACTACCTTCAGAGTTTGAGGTCTCAGAGCCTCTCCACCGTGCATACTTGCACGTTAAACATAATGCTCAGTCTCCTTTTTTCTAACATGAAGCAAAACCTATACTATCTTGGATAAAAATAAAGCCTTAAAGAAATACAGTTTTCTTAATCTTGTGCAGACTGAGAGTAAAAATGAGGACAGCAGCTACAAGATCCGTAACTCCAAATCACCCAGACTCAGGAGTGCAACGACAAATCCTGATTGAGTCAAAAGCGCTGGTCCAGGGCCCAAGAGACACTTCAGTACCATTTACAAACAGGAATAATGTACAAAAAAATGGGAATTGAAGAAAAATGGGCGAAATCATAGCATGATTACAAATAATAATATAATCAGCCTTCATTTTCTGTGGGTTCTGCATCTACGGATTCAATTACCCTGGGTGGAAAATATTAAAAACTAAATCACATTTGTATTAAATCCATATGGGCTATTTTTCTCATCATTATTCCCTAAATAATACAGCATAACAGGTATTTGTACAGCAATTACATTACCTAAGGTTTATAATGGAGAGAGATTTAAAGTATCTGGGGGAATGTGCACAGGTTATCTGCAGGCACAGGTTACATGTAAATACTTTGCACCTTATGGAAGATGCTGATACCCACGTAAGTGCAGGAGCCGGTGCCCTCAGATAAAGCCACGTCTGTGACGAGCCCCACACACACCGGCGGTCCCGTGAGAGGACTGCGCCTAAGGCACGGCACTCCACGATGCTCACAAAACCACAAACACCTCGATGTGTTTTCCAGACACAGCACTAAGCCACACATTAATATATGTGAAATCATATAAAAATGTTAAATCTACATGAAGATGCTATTCTTCAGTAAATGTAAAATATCATGGAATGATACGTGTTGCTTTTTAAAAATCAGCGAGTTTAAAGTTGTTCAATTTGAGTTCCTCTGCAGCCCAGTCTATGTCCAGCAAAGAAGTATTATTGACTATTATTACTCATAGTAGGAGTATGAAATAATCCAAGAGAGGACCAACAACAGAATCCTGACTCTTGCTCTCACATCCCTCCGACATGCTCTACCTCGGAAAGTCCGATTCTTACTTCCTAGATAACAAACTGGGCCTCAGTTTCGTTGTGGGATTTCCCACAGCCTTGACTCCGCTGCCATCACCATCTGCCTTTCGCTTTGCGAGGGAGCAGCGTGGAAGGCTGCATGGCAGGATGGACGTTTCTACGTGGCGCGTGAACACTCACAGGGGCTCCCGTGAACTTCAATCAAGAAAAGCATCCATTTCTGACTGAAACCAGAAACTCACCTGACTTCGTGATGCTTCAAATGCAGAACGGCCTCTCTCTTAGAAGTCACGGTTTCAACTTGCCGTAAGTATACACGGCATTTTTCCCTACTCTGACAGTTTGATTAAATTTACAGGAGGTTTACGCTGGAGAAAAGTGCATCCAATGTCTAAAGCGCTACAGCAACTGCCTTTCCAACAGAGCGCACTGTACTTACATCAACATCCTCTTGCGTGAACGTCTCTGGGTCCTCCCCCATCATGTTGGCTAAATGTCTCTTCCCTAGGTTGAACTCTTCAATCTGCTTTTTAATAAAGTCTTCTGTGTATACCTCGCGTCTGGAGGCGGGAACACTTTTCTTTGTTGTTACAACCGTGGTATGAATTAGCCTTGATAGCTAACAGAGAATATAAAAAGGAAAAAAAGACAGCATATTAAACCGTGCTCTAACAGGTTGTCTCTAAATAAAACGGTATTCACATAGTTATCTTTTTTGTTATGGTACTCGGTGGGCAGGAGGTCAGAACCAAAGTCCGGAAAGTGCCGCCTGCTTGAAAGCTTGCTTACCCATAGGTTGACCTACCGCAGCAGCACCGCAACACAGTGACATGAGAACTCCCGAGAGGGATGCGACAGACCCTGGTCTGCTCTAACATCCACTCTGGGTACTGGCCGGCCGAGGGCAGCAGGGGGCCAGAGTAACTGCGGGAGCAGCGTAAAAGGCCCCTCCCTCAGGAAGAGGCAAACGCGCCTGCAGCTGAGAACGCCCAGAAGCAATGGGCAGGGACCTGGGCACAGACCCTTCCACGGTGGGCACTCGACTTGTTGGAGGGAGAAGCACGGCCTACAGCCTTCTTTTGGGCTGCTCAGGACAGGACCTGACTCCTTGGTCCTCATATGAAGCGGACAAGGTGAAGAATGATGCGCTGACGCAACTGTTTCATTAAATGCTGTGAAGAGTTCTTACTAATTTGGTTCAACATGCTAACTGGAAATAAAAGCTGTATCTTTTTAAAAACATCAGTAATTACATCACACTTACTGCCGGAGTCATTTTTGCTGTGGCACTAAGAATTTCTGTCTGAAGCATTAACATTTCACCTTCAATAAAGGGTGTTAAAAGAACCAGAAAAAATATTGTAAATGATATTCCACTGCATTCAGTAGCTGGACTTAACTAGAACAGATCTTTCTGGTCTTGGCTTTTCTTAAGATCTTATCCCTGCCCAACAATTCTAAACCCCTGGACTTTAACACTGCAATCTTAGTCATCTACTTCTTTCCCTTATCATGAATGTAAAAGCCACGCGCACACACACCACCCATCAGCCCGTTCCTCCCACACGGAGGCCCCTTGAGTATCCTCTACAGTAATTCATCACTATAGTTACAAAAGTAGATATAATTTTAAAATGCAGGGAAAATATTGTAATATCCAGTGAATGGTAAAAATTATAAATGAAATGCAAATTAACATAGTGGAAAGAAGTTTCTGCTAACTCTTTAATGGACAATAAAGGGCAAGTAAACATTCCATGACTCCAGGTAGACTGGTGCACACCTCCAGCACTGAGAGGCTGAGGCAGAAGGGTCACAAGTATGAGCCCAACTTGAGCAACTCAAGTAACTTAGAGATCCTGTCTCCAAAAAACAACCCAAAACCATAAAGCTTTATGGTTTATTTTTCCTCAGGCGAGTACACAGGAGTTTTCCGTTATAAAGCGGTACTCGGCCAGGGCTGCATTTTTTTAGAATGCCTGTGCAGACCAGTTCCACCACTCTGAATAGAAGCAAGCCCACAGGGCGTCCTGTCTGTCCGGGCACCTGCAGCTCGAGCCGAGGATGGCACAGGGCACACGCGGAGGGCACGCAGCCCACCTTCCTCCACCTGCCCACTGTGTGGTTGCACTCATGGCTACTGCTGCTCATCTCTTCCTGGGCCTCGGTCACACACAGGACCTCATCACAGGGGTGCTGCGCTGGGAGAACGCAGCACACAGACTCTGGTGCTCTCTGTGGTTTCCCAGCTACCAGGAGCCCGGGGTCAGCCCCATGGGCAAGGCCACTGCTTATGTCTGCACCCTGCCCGCAGGCGGGTGCCACTCATACCAACTACCCCCCCACCGTAGTTTTACCATCTAATGTTTTACAAGGCCTGCCTTTGCTTTATTCGTTTCCACGTTTGCTTTGAACAAAGAGGATTGCTTCCTATACTCAAAGTGAGCAACCAGTACCTTTCTGCCTCAGAGGTGGGGGCACAGGCATGAAGTTGGGCTGAAAACTGACCGTCACTCAGACCCATCCTACCAGTTAGTCCAACAGGAATGAGGGGGCCCGGGGCATATTCCGCCTTCTCCCTCCGGCCAGACTGTCATCTCCATGGAGGAGCCCTGGGTAATCATGACTATAGAAGATAAAGAAAACAGCCTGCTGCTAGACACAGGTGCAAGTCCCTCAGTCCTTCTTTTCAATCCTGGCCTTCCTTCCAGCCGTCACATCTCAGTGACAGGAGTCACTGGTGAGGAGGTAATATGCTATTTTTCACAACCCTTAGGCTGTAACTACTTGTTAGATCCTTCTTGCGCATCTCTGTCTTCCTGAGAAACCACTTTGAAGATACCACCATGTATTACAGCAGCCACTGATATTTTCCTACTGATCTATCCATAACTCTGTAATGCTTGTATTGTTCCTATCCTATTTCGTAAATGGATGCATGTTTATTATTATGTGTTTCCTGCAACAACCATTGAGAATAGTTAATGATTACTGAATAGGTCACTCATGTATAGCTCTATTTTCTTTAGAAGCCACTTTGAAGATACCAAAGTATAATACAACTATTGATAATCTCCTACCTCTTTTGTCTGTAACTCACTATTATTTGTCTATTTGTTTTCCTGAGAAACTATCTTGTAGATGACAATATGTAAAACAATAACCACTGATAATTTCCTACCACTTTGTCTGTAATTTGGTAAGCATCCCCCTATTACTACGTTATCTTTCTTTTACTCTTTAAAATAAAAAAAAAACTGACAAATTACAACTAATGATCATAGAGCTTTTTTATTTGACACAATTTGAATTTTTAATAGATGAAACTTTATGTGGGTTTTCTGTCTTATTAATCTTATCTTTACATTTAAAAAATTTTTTCTATTTTTAAATAATAGACCAGGGTTTATTTTTACATAATAAGTATATGTGATGTGATAGGAGGAATTAAACTCTTTCCTGGCTATAGAAAAGTTACTTTTTTTTATTTTAAAGAGAATAGTAAAAAAAAAAAGAACAGTGGCAAAGTACCAATATCACACACAAAAACAAAGCAAAGCAAAAAATTAACAATGTATCTTAACATTTTTAATGCTTCCTACTTTGTTTCTTTTGCTAGACAGACTTTTTAAAAAATTTGTCCTTCAACCAGTTTGGACAGTATATAGCCTGCTCTTATTTTACTAGGAAGTTTCACACTAAAATGTTTACATGTAGTTCTATCCACTCTGGAAATAAACCCATACCCACCGGATCCTCACGAGCAGCGATCCATGCTTCTGTTCCCATTTATCTGTTTCTTTTGCTCTAACTTCCTGTCTCTCGCTTCTGCACCTGTGCAGTTTTTACCCCTTTATTCCACGGCTTTCCCCTCTTTTTTGGAATGTCCATTCTGCTCACCACAGCCACTGTGAATTTGCAACTTTTTGTATCTTCAAGACTCAAACCTCAACAGTTCTTTTTTTATCTTATCTTTTTGTCTTACCCCACCTCAAAGCTCTAAGAATGTCCCCACCAGTGTGAAGTAGCTGCGGTAAAACACAGTGGCCCCCTCCACCCATGGAGGACATCTTTCAAGATCCCAGCGGAGCCTGAAACCCTGACATGCTACGCTTTTTCCCACTGTCCACACCTATGACCAAGTTTATTTCACACATTAGGCACCGGAAGCAATAACAACAACAATAACAAAGTAGAGCAATTACAATTACAATGCTGCGGTAAAAATTATGTAGTGGGGTCTCCCGGGACACAGTCAGGACAAGTGTGTTTGGACTGCAGCTGGCAACAGGTAACTGAAACTAGAGAAATAAAAACCTGGAGGAAGGGGGCCTAATGTAATCTTCCATTCTGCTAAGTAATTCTCCTCCCCTATCTTCTCCATAATGTTCCTTTTCATCTTTGGTTCCTACAACGTTTTAGTATTTTCTCATCAAAGAAGGTCACTACTGACTTCTTAACTGTAAAATGTCACATCTAGGTTCTCCAGACTCTGTGACCCATTAGGGCAGCTTTCTTAGTTTTAACATAAATGAAGTTTAAACACATTTACAGAAATATGACTGTTGTCCATTTAGAAAGTCCTTGAAAAATATGTCTCCAACTTGCTATTTATCATAAAAGTACTTTATGATATTTTCTAAGACATAGCTACATAATCCTCAAGAGTGCAACATCCTAAAAATACCACAATATTTATTAAGTTTACAAAGTTATCACAGCATTGACACCAGGCTATTGAATATATCTGTCAAAGGTCTAAATTACTCCAGCAAGGAACTCATACAAAAATATTTACATCCATAGAAGGCCACCACGTCGCTAGTACAGTCCATCATGTAACATGAGGCTGAAAGTATGCGAAACACAGCTCCTTAGTCAAAACCTCCAAGACTCCCTGGAAAGAACTTCCTTGCCACTGTAAGAACAATTCCCAACAAAATTTTCTACAGATTTCATTTCCAACCAAAAAGCTATGAGACAGAATTCTCACCAGACTCTGTGTTTACAGACCAGTATAGATACAACCTGACAGATTTGTTTCCTTCTGAAGACAACCAGCGGGTCATAGGAGTATGATTTCAAACTCGCAGGCTGCCAAGGAAGCAGACAGTCTGCCAGCAGTGTTGCCCAAACTGGCCGCATGCCAGTGCTGACTCTACTTTCATGGTATTACTGGAGTATTAAGAAGTTTCTTTTTAGTTTAGTTGGATAAAAACGGAACAAAGAAGAATATGCTGCTAATTTGAGTAGGAAAGGACAAAAAACTACTATGACGTATTTTTAAAAAGATAAAGACTAAGTCCGATTAGAGAAAGTGCATAGGAAGAGCAACGTGAGGACTCAAGAGAGTGATTGTGGTGACTTTCTGAGCAGGGTTACACTCACAGCAGGCAAGCCAAAGAAGTCACTCCTCTTCATCTGCGTTCTTAGGAGGCTGTGTTAGGGCCCCAGGAGGACACCTGAAAGCGGGCCAGCTGCACAGCTCCGGCAGCTGAGGAGCCAGAATGTTGTGGGCCAAGCAGGCACAGTGGAGCCAGAACGCTGCCCAGGTGAGATGGACTCTACCTGCAGCGTCCCCAAGCTCCAGACCTCAAGGGGGGACAGTCTCATGGGCTATCTGGGTGAGGTGCCACATTATAGCTCTTGTGGAATATTTGATGGGAAAGAACAAATTCCTCTGGAAGAAACCAGGGTGCTGTCATGAGGGAAAATGGATGTTAGGTTAAACCAACTAGGAAATTCACTTCATCACTGAAGTCACCACTCACAGTCATCTGCAAACCTAGAAATTAGGACACTTATCAAATAAAATAAATGGACTTGCTTGAATCGTGGTTGAAATGAGCCAAATATCAAAAGTCATTGTTTGGACAGTCAGAGAAATTTGAACTCAGAATGGGTAATACATGGTATCAAACTATTGTTCATTCTGTTAGATATAGTAGTGGCATGGAGCTATGCTTTAGAAGCTACGCTTTTAAAAACAGATGTTAGAGCTGTGTATTCAAGTACAAGTAAAATAATTTACAATGACCAATTTGGCAAAGATAGAAAATGACAAAGCAATTTAATTGCTGACTACTGAAACCTGCTGACAGATACACAGGATGCATTATATTCTAGTTTCATATGTGCTTGGTATTTTCATAATAAAATTCTAAAAATTAAACAAGTTCATTTAACAAATTTGAGCTTCAGTGGGCCCTGTAGTAGATTTTAAGAGAAACCATTATAAAGCAGAATTGAGTAGTGTTAAAATGAGAATTGCCATAATGAGTTAAGGAAACTTGACACAAAGTATTCCTGAAGCTACAGATCCTACTTGGCAAAAGAACAGAAAAGGTGTGACATGTACACATACGGGGACACACATACACATACACACTTCATAGGAACTCTTTACAAGTGTTTTGGGCTTGGGTGTTTTTGAGAGAGAGTCTTGCTCTATTACCCAGACTGCTCTGGAATTCCTGGGCTTGCAAGCTCATGCCATCCTCCTACTCCTGCCCCTGCCCCAGCTGCTGCCTGCTGGGGCTGCAGGTGTGCACCACGCCAGGCCTGCTTGTTTATGAGGCAGTGAGTATTGCTGAGCTCCCTGCAGTCACTGTACTAGTTGGTGTCCTGGTAGGGATGCAAAAGCTATGGGCTGTGCTATCCTTATCATCAAGAAGTTTACAAACCAACTGCACGACCAAACCCTGAACACGTCAGACACTGAGACAAGAACACAAGAAGCACACTGCTACCCAAGCTCGGAGAGGATGCCTGGTATTCTGCCACCTGGGGCTGATGCCCTTGTGTGATCCCTTCCTCCCGAGTGCAGGCTGAATCTAGTGACTTGATTCTTACAACTAAAAAGACAGATGGCACTTCTGAAATTAGGTTCCAGAAAACTCTGTCCTCCCACCTGTTCACCCTGTCTTCATCGAACTGATAGAAGGCAGATGTGGTGAGCTGCCCCACAGACGGGTCTGGTGGCCAGAACAGAGGGGTCGCTGGCCTGCAAAGATCAAAGTCCTGCTAAGGGCACAACAGACAGCTTGGAAATGGATTCCGCAGCTGGGCCAACACTGGACTGCAGCCGCAGGAGACCCTGGGCAAGGGGCCTTAATAAGGTGGGCCTCAAGCTCTGACCTCCGAAACCTGGTGGATGACAATGTCAGCTGTTTTAAATTTTGGGGTAATTTATTATACATCAATAAATAATGAATGCAGTCACCATCATTCTAATTACAATAATGAAACAAAATACAAAGTTTGCTTATTTTGTTCTATAAGGAAAAAAGCAGCAGGCTCTCTTTAAATGAGAAATTTATAAATTATTCCACAAGGAAAAAACAGATTTTAATGTAGAGGCATTTTCATAATTACAGGAAGAAGGAACACTAGACTTTATCCTTATTAGGACAAGATAAAATCTCAAAGGCAGCAAAAGGAGTTTTCATTTTGATTTTCATTGTTAATAAACTGGAAAAATACACACAAACATACACACACACATACACACACACACTCATACACACAAACTACCTGGGAGGGGATATAAGCACTTTATTGAGCTGTATAAGGTATCTAATGAAAATGTAACTTAATTTTAATTTTTTCAAAGCATATTTTAGCCATTTATCAAAACAAAACTAAGGCATTACTGTAAACCTAAAGGAGGCTAGGATAAATATAGGATGTTCTAATCTCCAAGAGTCCACTAGAGAAAAACAAAAAGATACTTTAGACAGAGTCAGGAATGTGCTTACAATGACACCAAAACATGTCACCCATCATTTTTCTCTGGGACATGGTCCAAATCAACAAAGGCATACTGGTTGGGTACAGCTGGAAGGATGGGGCCTTAAGAACGTGCTTAGTGAAAGACTAAAAATTAAGAAGCTATCCTACCAGTATTTTGTGGCAATTTTTTTCAAAACATTGAAAAATATTTCGTCTGCTGTTTCATATTATAAAAATCAGAAATATAGAGAAAGCTGAATTAGTATTTATATATTGTTATACCGACAGAGGATTAAAGAATTCATGGGCAACTTCTGTAGAACTCCGGGAAAGGGAACTGCCAATGCCGTAGTGAACACTATTTTCACTCATGACAAGCAGAGAAACTGAAGCAACTTCCAATGGCAAAGCAGATCCTACTGTGCGCCCGGACGAGCTTTCTAGCTGCATGTGTCCCAGGGAAACCTGCATGAAGCCTCCAGCTTCACCTGCTTTCTCACCACCTGTACAGGTGATGTACCCTCCGTTAATCGGCCATAGGTAGCACCTCTGCCGCACGGCTCGCAGTGCTAACAGATGCCCAGACAGTTCTCAGGACCTTGGAGGTAACTCAAACAGGTTGAAACCCCGCTTCCCCGGGCCTCTGCAAATGTGCAGTGGGTGACCTAGCTTTTGACGTCTGAAGGCCAAATCCCCCGTCGGGGCACGCTGACACGGCCGTGTCCCACATGCGGTGCACGAAAAGCCGTGCAGCTGATTGAGTATACCCGAGCCATTCGCTACCTCTGATCTCCTCCCCGCGCCGCGGGCCACCCTGCTTCTCTACTCGGGAGAGCCCTAAACCCCCCCTCAGGAAGGCAGACCTGAGACTCGCTCTCCTGTGCGCACAAGTTCCGGCCGCCTTGTGAACAAACTCTCGCAAAGCTCGTTTCGGCGACCCGTACACCACGCGCGGGGCAGAGCGCGCCCGGCTCCACACGCGTCTCCCAGCGCGGCTCCCCGCCCCGGGGCCGCCCGACGCCC